GACAAAGTGGCAATTCAGAGATCATGGACAAGAGGTCAAGGGAGCGTTTCCTAGCTTCCAGGCAACCAAGATGATGGCAAGAGTACAGTGCAATTAAACACCCACTTCTGGCTATCAGAGGTTAGAAAAGAAACAAAATAAACAACAACAACCAAAAGCAGCTTGTGGTTAGGGCATGATGCAAATTTCTTCTAAACAAAAGAGGGAAGCAAACCTTTCAGTCTAAACAAAGTCATCAAAGAATCCCTAACATGTTATTAAATCTAAAATGAAATACCTGAAGGACCCTGAATTTCTAGGTTAAACACTATCTTTGTTTAAAGGGTATTAAAAAACAAAAGCACACCATATGCTTTCAAAACGACAATGGAAATATCTGTTTATCTCGGCCAGGGCCACATTTCATCAAGCCATTCAGACTGTGCAAAGTTCAATACATCCTTAAGCAGAAGGACTGCCTAAGGAGTGCAAGTACATCTGGCAAATCCAAATCCTTTCTCCAGGACTGCGTCAGTACCAGAAATGCTACAGCAAGAGAGTGGAAAAGGCCACAAGTCTTCCATGCCATCTCTTGCTTGTTGCTCACGTGACTCCTGAAATTATAAAGGGGGTGGGAATGCTGGAGTCAGGCCAGCGATCCATCCCAGTGCTGAGATGTACACCCCTCCCAGAGCCAGGATCTTCCACTCTATCATCCAGAACCTTCTAAAAATGTAGTCTGAAGTGTGTTGTAATCTCTGGGCGAAGGCCTAGGAGTCAGTGACCTCCTCAGTTTTAACCCAGATTTGATGTGGGTTCAACAGTGAGTCACTAGCCCTTTTTTTTCACATTTCAGTTTCCTCTAGGAAAAGCCATCTGTCATTCTTTCATATCTTTATGTGAAAGATGCTGTCACTAGCTTACATCAGTGTCTTCTCACCAGGGAGAAGTCACAGTTCTAAAAGGGCAGCCCCTAGAGTAGACCACAGGGGTCACCATGGAGACACAAAGCCGCCCCCTTTACTTCAGGGAGGTCAAGTGGGCTTCATCTGCCCCTGCAACCTTACAACGCCGGTCTCTGTCTGGTGAGGTCTCCCCAGGAGAGGCATGAGGCAGGCTGGCCTCACTTGGCAACAGAAACTATCTGAATGCTTCAGTTTTTACCAGTGCATTGCTTTAAAGCTTTTTTTTCCCCCCCTAATCTTTGAAGAGTAAAGAAAAGAGGAGATCACGAAGGAGGGCAATGTGGCCTAACTCAAATGCAGCCACAGTTAGGCACTAGAGGTAGCTCAAGCAATGATGCAATAAAAGGGAGTGGGGGAAGGATTGCTCTCACTCTCTTTCTCCTACACACACACACACACACACACACACACAATGTTAAAAAAAAAAAAAAAAAAGCAAAAATACTTCTATGTTCCAGCAACTGTTAATATTTTCCTTCATTGGGCAATTGGCCAATAGACTGCAATTTGTATATAGAAAGAACATATTCATGAATAGAATACTAAGTCACATTCCTCAACACCATGGTGTCATTGGTATTCACACCAGATTCCACAATTTCACTTGGAAATTTATGGGGGAAATAGAAAAGGAGATTGCTTGGTATTAAATATTTAGCATTAATGTGAAACAATTACAAAAGAAACCCCATTGTGACTTTTCAGGTTGTAAATTTGTTTATCTAATTCAATGTGGTAGAATAAACCAACTAATTATGCACTTTTACAGTTGTCTAGTTTGGAAATTCTACTCTTCATGAACACAAACTGCATATTTTACTCAAAAGGAAAAGCTAATAAAGCTCCTCGTTTTTTTCTCCATTCTGACTAACGTCATATTGCTGCTGAATGAAGCTACCAACAGGTAACAACATTACTTAGGCTAAATGAATGGGAAGTTTTGATGTCTCTAATTTAAGTGCTTTAAGATCACAATAATGAAGTATGTACCATACAAAATGGGTTAATCTATATTTATTTAATTAAGAACACTGTCTGATTCTCTTCCTATTTAATGTTCTCATTTTAATATCCTTTTGTTATAAAATATTTTTCTTATAACTTTTAAAATGGAACTACTAGTGGAATTCAGTAACTCCAAATAAATACCAGGTCTACTAGGGCTTCCCATAAGGGGAATTATTGACATTTTGAACTGCATAATTCTTCGATGTATAAGACAGAGTGGTTGTCCTGTGCATTGCAGATTGGTTAGAAATATGCCTGGCTGCTATCACTAACTGCCAGTAACACCCCTCCAGCCCCAGGTCTGACAACCAAGCATGTCTCCAGACATTGTCAAATGTTTGGGGGAGGGCACACGCAATCACTGTAGTTAGAACCATAACATCTGCCTGATTTGTCATACAATGAAAAAGAGAAAAAGAAAATAAAAGTTTCTGTCTCTTGCTTTTTTTGGAATGTCCAAGCCCCCTCAGATTGTATGTCAATTATTTGGATTCTTCCTGTATTTAACGGAATTGCTCCTAAATTTCTGAAGCTTTCTGCAGTGTGTTTTGATTAGATGCATCTTGAATTTCTAATGGATTGTCAAGCTACTAAAAATCCACTAATTCCCACTGGACAAGCTATCAGGAAACCTTAGCATAACTCCACTTTGAGCCTTAAACCAACAGCATGTGAAAAGATCAATATGAATAAATTCAAAACTAATCAGGCTTCTTCTTTAAATGTTGACACAGTATTATTTATATCCCATAAATACATTCTTGACTAAAATTCATACTAGGAGCTTGGCACCTTGCCAGTTCTATTCATATTTACTGTATTTATATAGTACACTTGGCCAAGGATAATATTTAAGACAAAATATGCCTGAGGGCATATATAATATCTTATATTTTTACTTTTAAATCTGCACATTGCTAAAAATATTTAGTCTGAACTTTATAAAATGTCCCACAAAGGGCTATCAGCAATCTGTAATGATATATAGCTCATTGAGTATAATTAGAGCATATTTGCAATACTTGAGCTGAAGTTACTCCCTGAACACTAACAAGTTGGTGGTAAAAAAATGAACCCGCGATCTCTCCCATGCCTTCATCTCTGGGGCTCATGACCCTCTGTGGATTCATCGTAAGAAATGACAGGCCCACTCCCTCCCAGCATCTGCTTCAGTGACAGGCAAGTTAAAACTCTGACATTTAAGTCCTAAAGAGAGAAAGTTGGTATATAAGTCAGTGCTGCACTTTCAATCTGCTTCTTAAAAATATAGTGCTGTGATTTTTTTTAACTTTTCTTCTTTTTTTGGAAAGGTTTGCTATATTCCAGCAGAACTAGAAAGTGCTGGAAAATCAGTTAACCTACTTTCTATAAAATTATCCACTGTTCTTGCATAGTAGTATCAAACCTGCTATGAATATGGCTTTCTGCTTCTAAACTCCACACAGAGCACAGGATTGAAGAAAACAGAGATTTTTTTTTTTTTTTAATCCTGAACTTATCAGAGGTTTTAGTTCATTTGATGGCTGGGGGTAGAATGGAAAGAAGAGTCTACTCATTGATCTTAGATGCCATACTCTGAAATCCTCTTATGAATCTGAGAACTTTTCTAATTTTTGGATGACTACGATCCTGGGTTAGGACCATTTCAGCTTATCTTCATCTCTCAGACTGAAGGTTGCTTGGGAGAACAAAGGATGAACACCTCTTGGGCAACATGTTCATTCCACACCTCTATCAGGATGAGATCACATCTCCTTTGTTCTAAGTAGTGCTGGCAGTTCATCAGAACGTTTGCATGTAAACACTGAAGGGTGAGCTATTCAGGTTCTACATAACACACTTGCCTGTCTGTCCAAATACCAGTGGAACTCCTGCACGTGTTGCAGAAAGCAAACTGACTCAACTCTGCTCAGCCTCAATGAGTTTGGACTAATTACAGCGAACTTTCTTTCCTAGGATCTCCTTGGCTCCACCCCCAGTCAGAAAGCCGGACTCCCCAAGGGGGAATAAGCAGGGTGGAGCGTATGTATCACCACTGTTGTGGATAGTGCCATAATGACAATAATAAAACCATCCTGCTTGCCAGGACGCCTTGCATCTGTCCCGCTATTGAACAAGCAGAGGAGCTGCAGCAAGAGAAGATGGCCAGAAAGACTGGAGTTAGATACATGGGCGGACATTCTGGGGCCATCTAGTACAAGACACAGCAAGTCCCGTAGCTAGGACTTGTCAAACTAAAAATAAATATTAAAAATGAAAAGCACCACCCTGCAATTAGAACTTCTAGGATAAAATTACCAAGATGGCTGAATTATCTATTTAGGCAAAACACAGAGACTTAGCAAAGGCAGCCAGCAAGTATATAGGGCACGGAAAGGGGAGGAGAGAAATGGACAACCAATGAAAAGTTTATGACTTGGAATTTGGAATACACAAATGTTAAAGTGTGGTGTTTTTTTTTTTTTTTTTGCCCTCTGTTTTTCTCCTTCCTGTTATTTAACCCTCTCAGTTATCATTGAATATTTCCTTTTTTCTTTTTGATTTTTGTTAAGAGTCCTGAAATAATTACACACTAACTGTCCTCTGTCCTCCGCCCCCTTACCCCAGCCCCCAAGAACTTCACAATAAATCATTTCACTTCCCTTGCTACTGGATGTCAGCTGAATTTGAGGGCACTGCTCTCAGAGAAGCCACTTTTTCCTCCCTCCCTCCCTTGCTTCTCTCCCTCCCTCTCTCCTCCTTCTCTCTCTCTCCCTCTCTCCCTCTCTCTCTCTTCTTGATCAGCCTTCTTTACTCTATCTTAGATTTAGGAATGCACCAAAGGTAATGTAGAAGCCTATCAAAGAGCAGGGGCACAGTGCCCACGACTGGAAAAAAAAAAAAAAAAGATGAAGATAAACCCGTAGGAAAAATGATCTGCTACACTGGCGATTTTAAGAAGGCAGGTTTGGGTGAATTCTGAAAAAAAAAAATATACAGCAATAAAAGCCTTTTAAACACAAAAACTAAGCCGAACTTTCTACCACCGCAGGTGAAATCAGAGAGGACATGGTTACAAGAGTCTGCCTCAGGGGAACGTAAACACCTAGCGCTGGCAACAGGCACAGCGAGCACTGAGGGTTTCCAGGTAGGTTTTTGGAAGGGTCTCCAAACCAGGTTTTGTCTGAGCGATGCTGACATTTTTGAGGGGAGTTAGAGACAATGGAAAAGGCTTGGTGAACCAGCTGATAGGTCGGCACGGAAAGGGGGCGCCTTCCGGAGAGGATAGTTTTGAGCCACATTATTTTAACCCTTCGTGCACCAGTTCGGCGCGCTCCACGCCAATCGGAGCAGAGAAAACAAACCCACCAAGATTTCCCGGTTTAACTCTGCCCCAGGGAGCGCCTCACGGTTTGACAGAGCAGGGCGGACTCCTAGTTGGTGGCCCAGGATGGAATTTCAGGGACGAGAACAGGAGAATTCCGCCTTATAAAGGACTGAGGCGTTAGGGGGGAGTGGGGGAGGGAGAGATGGAGAAAATAAAGTAGAAAGCGCACGTCTTAACGTCTGCGGACTCTCAAGGACACGGCTGGACTGGAGGTGGACGGGGCGCAGCTCAGCGAAACCGGAGCAGGGTGGGCGAGCCCCGGAGCCGTCGCGGCGGTGCGAGCGCGGGGCAGCGCGACACCTCGGGGCACAGAAGCGAAGGAGACTGGGCACTTACTTTCGGAGGGGAAGTAGGACGGCATGTCTATCTTGTAGACCTCCTTGGCGTAGTACTCCTCGTCGCTCCTCTCGCGCTCGCAGGCGGCCGCCCTCCGGCTCGCCTTCTCCTGGAGCAAGTCCCTGGTGCTGTTGTAGATGGAGATCACCTCCGGGGGCACTTCCTCGGGCTCGGGATAGTCTTCTGGGGGGCTGGTGAGCTTCAGCTTGCTTAGGATCTGCCCGCGGATCGCCTCGATCCTCTTGCGCATGAACTGGTCCATATCGAGTGTGCTGCAGGTAGACAGGCTGAGCGCCACCGTGACCAGATGCAGGATCAGAAAAGCGCTCAGCACACAGTAGTGCATTTTTTTTTTAAAAAAAGGTAGAAAAAAGTCCTTTTAAAAAATGAAAAATAAAAAGAAACCAACAATTCTCAAAGTGCAGATCAGGTGGAGCTGTTTGTTTGTTTGTTTTTTTAATGCGAAACTTTTGCGAACGATCGAGGGTCGATGCCAGATAGAAAATGTAGTTTGCTTGAATTCCTTCAAAAAGAAAATGCAAGGAGTTCCCAAACTGGAAACATTAATAAGGCATGGGCAGGGGGAACCCTGACTTTGGAAAGCAAGAAAAAAAGATTCTCTTGGAGTGACGAGGTGGGGGGAAAAGGGACGAGTGGCTATAAGGCAGAAATAAATTTAAGAGGAGGAAATGGAGTTCAGTGTGTCAGTCCCGGGTGCCGAGTGGCGGATCTGAACTCGGATCCTCCGGCCAAAAGGGAAGAGATGAAAAGGTCCCGGGGCTGGCAGCTGGCGACCTGACTGGAGGGGCGCCGCCGAGGCTGACCCGAGCAGTAATTTATATATTTAAAGAAAGAGCGGTTCGGCCGTGCCTTCCACTGCGGCGCTCAGAGCAGGGGCAGCGGCAGCTCCAGGGCAGAGGAGCGCACACGTGTGTGTATGAGTGTGTGTGTGTGTGTGTGTGTGTGTGTGCGCGCGCGCGCGCGCGCGTGCGCGCTCTGGGGACGAGCCCGGCGCGCCGCGAGGAGGCGGATGCGCTTCGCACGGCGCCCGGGACGCGATCGGGTGCTGCAGGGGCAGTGGACACGGCCGAGGGGGCGAGGATCCTGCTCCCGGAGCTCCGCGCTGTGGCCGCAGGGTTACTCCACGTTGCTGGTCGGTCCCGCCGCCGCCGCCGCCGCCGCCGCCGCCGGCAAACGCGTCCAGCCTCCAGCTCCCTCCTTCTCCTGCACCTCCTTCTGCTCTCGCTCCAGAAGCCAACCCGGCACCAGAAGATCAGCCGCCGCCGCCGCCGCCTGCACCCCCTGCGGACCACAACAGCAGCCCGGGAGACACGCTGGCTGGGGAGTTTTATTCCTAAGAGGGTCGCGAAGGGGCTCCCTTGGACTCCCACCCTTTTCCAACCTCTCCTGGTTTCTCTCCCACTTAGACCTTCTCGCTTAGGGGAGGTAGGCACTTGCCACCCTGAAATAGACTCTCGTTCCTTCTCTGCCTTTCTGCAGCCGGGAAGCCCCCGTTAGTTCCCGAACGGATCCTTAGACCGTTACTCTGACGTTCTCCATCCTTCTCCCTGCCTCTTTCACTTGCGCTCTTGCTCTGCTCTCGCTCGCTTTCCTTCCTTCTATTTCTCTCTCTTGTTGGGAGCTTCTGGAGCTCCGCTCCGCTCCCAGCGAACCTTCTGCTGCCAGCAGATAACATCACGATCTTGCCGGGGAGGGGAGATTTATAAGTTCTCTCTGGACCACGTGTTTGCCTTCAACAAAGTGACGTGCTAGGATTACAGTCAGAAGTCCTCTCGTTACTTAGACCACGAGCTCTCCCCGAACCGTGGAGGGGGTGTGGAAATGAGGATGGCTGTTGGGAACGGAGGCAGGAGGTGGAGTGCGCGCCCTGACAACAGTGATTTACGGTATCTACTTCCTATGGTCATATAGTTCTGGATAGGTCTGTCGAAAGACAGCTATCAAAGCTCCCCGTTTTTACTTAGTGTAGCTCACTTGAATCACTTGCTCTGGAATGGAAGTCTTCCCTCCTGTATTGTGTGTACACACGTACACACAGCACCCCTATGCCAGGAACACCAGGCTATTTATGCCAGGTCGGCACGGAAGAGAATATCTTCTCATCGAAGTCTCCTGTACCTACCTTTTTAATTTCCTGGGATTTCATATCCTAGAATTTATAATCGAGTCCTCTGTGAATGCTGGAAAACAGAGATTCTTAACAAACAAAAACCCACGTAAATAATAAAATCTACTTGTTTTACGGTTTTAAATTATTATCTTCATTGGTACCTATGCCACTTTTAGTATGGCTTTCTCTTCTTTCTAGGTTAGACGTTATCAACCAACTTCATTCTTTCCACAGCATACATCCAGGAAGCAGAAATTTTATGTCTGCTGTCTGCTGTCATACACTACACATAACTTAAAATTTTCTATTTCAACCTACTCCAAATTAGATGAATACAAGAATTCTTGTCACTGGTCAATTATCCCCATTTCCATTATTTTACCTTTAGTTACTCAAAGTCAACATTTTCATTTCATTTCAACATGTGGCCATACTGACTAGACAGATGATTTAAACTGGAAATTCTGCTCAGATTTCCCCCAAACTCAAGGCCTCAATATTATTCCCTAGTGCAACTTTTCATGACTTTTTAAATTTACACTTCAAATGTGTATGGGGTCTCTATCATTAAGTAGGCAGTTGAATAAATAGCAGTAACAATAGCTGACATACTACACTTAGTAATGTGTATATATAGAGAGAGTTATTTAATATCCACAACAATGTTACATGGTAGGTATTCTGTTCAAGTACTCTGTTCAAGACCTCAGTAAGTGGCAGAGGTGGTCAGGATCCGTTGTCTACGTTCGGACCCACCAGGTACTTCAAAGAAACACTGGTTCCACAATATGTTCTCACAAAAGAATTTGATAGCCAAATGAGTTTGAGAAATAGGAGGTACCCTATTGTCTTTTAAAGGTTCAGGATTCCTTTCACATTACAGGGACTGAGAACCCCTCAGAAAAGAAAAAATGTCAACTCTTTTAACCCAGCATTTCCTAAACCCCTTTGAACATGGAATTGTCTCCTGCTGATAATTGGAAAACTCAAATAAGGGAATTGTTTTAACCCATTTCTGAATAATTCCAAGAAGTATGTACAAATCAACATAAGTAGGCCCCCTTCCTTGAGACAAGTTTAAAAATGAAATAGCTTGGAAGAAGACAACCAGCTATCATCCCAATAACCAAAGCAAAATATAATCAAGAGGAACTTCTGGCAGACTAATATTTTATCAAATTAAGTCATCTGTTTGAGTCCAGTTTGAGAACTGCAGTAATCCTGCTATAAAGAGGACAAAAAGCGAATATTCCCACATCTGGGAATATCCCCACATCTATAGCAGGAGCTACAAACCACCACTTCTGAGTAAGGATGTTGACTTGGAAGATGGCTGGTTTCCCAAGTTAGCTCTCACTGTATTCTGAGGGTGTAGGCTCAGTCTTCCTTCAAGCCAGAGAGCATCTATCACTCAACATTTACAGAATATGTTGTGCAAACAAAAATAGATACCCCTTAGGTAAAGTGGTTCAGATTAGGGTATGGACAGGGCAGCCAAAGTCCATCTACATCACTTCTGGTAAAATAACTTACTATAAATATAAACATCCATGTTCTGGTTCATTATAGTTGGTTGAACACTTATTGCTTACTTACAACTCTTTTAGACCTGGGACTCCTGACCTATTCCTAAGAATCTACTTTAACATCCCCAATGCTCAGGAGAGTAAGACAGGAGGGGTTGGTGACATCTATTATGGGGATGAGTATGCATAGTGAGTACAGTGGAGCAGGAGACCTTCCCTGCTTCTCAGGGGAGGAGCTTTTTAAGGATGCAACAAGCAAGACTGCCAGATTATGATTACTCTTTGATAATCATAAACGATCCTTTCTTCTATTAAGTAACACTTTTAAGATCGCTATTCAAAGGGAAAAATATTCATTAAATTGAAATCTAGTGTACTGAGAACTCCATACACTTTCTGGCAAAAGGGTGTTTGAATGATATATACCATCTTGATTTCCTCAAGGAAGCTGCAGAGAACAGAGGTTAAAGAGACATGCCCCAGAGGCAAGATTTCTTGGGTTCAGATTTTTATCATTCACTGGCTTTGTGATCCTGACCAAGTTAGTAACTATCTGTTAGTTTCTTCATCTGTGGAATGGGGATAATAACAGCACCATCTACACTAAGATTACCATGGGGACTAAATACACAACGTACAGAAGGCATGTACAACAAAATCTAGCACTTAGTATGTGCTCATTAAGGGAAATACTACTCAACCCAAATTTACTTCACGGTTATGCCTCCTAGTGGTTTCTGCAGGCATGTGCTCATTATTTTAAACATGATGGTATTTTGTCCCCAGTAATTGTAGGCAAAAAGGACAAGAAAACATACTTTTGATACTTTTGGAACACTAAAAGGCTATCAAAGATTTGTTAAACACCCAAGATTAAAATCTTGGCATGGAATTCTTTCTAAATCAGAGAGGCACAGAATGCAGCTGTTTCAATCCACAGACCTTCTGTAGATGTAAATCCGTCTTTTCACTTAAGTGATATAGAATTCCTAGAAGAGGCTTAAACAAAACTACTCATCCTTGCCTGGACTTTTATTCCTGTAGACTATACCAACAGTCTGTGACCTAACAGCTCCTTCCTAACTCTGATGAAAAGCATCCCATGATAGTTTCAAGCATTAAAAACCAGAAAGTGGGGAAAATAAGTATATGGAGCTACTGTAATTTATCACATCTTTCTCCAAGTAGTGACACCTGATCAATAAAAAAAAATTAATAAAAAATACACCAAAAGGTTTTTAGGTTCTTAAAATTTGGGGGCCAGTGTTGTGGCATAGCAGATAAAGCTCCTGCTTGCGATGCTGACATTCCTTATGAGTGCTGGTTCATGTCCCAGCTGATCCATTTCCCATCCAGCTCCCTGCTGACGACCTGGGAAAATGGGTCCCTGACACCCACGTGGGAGACTGGGATGAAGCTCTTGGTTCCTGGCTTCAGCCTGCCCCAGTCCTGGCCATTGCAGCCATTTGGGGAGTGAATCAGCAGATGGAAGATCTCTCTCTCCTCTCTGCCTCTCTGTAACTCTGCCTTTCAAATAAATAAATAAATGAATATTTTTTTTTAAAAAGTACTTGCAATTTAACCTTGGATACGAAACTCAAGAACAATGTTTGGTCTATATCAATTTTGTGCCATGTTCTGTATGCATTTCTATAGATGGACAAGTTTATCAATGAAATAATAACTACAGAAAATTATTACCTAGAATAATTATCTTAGAATAATAAAATGAGTGATTTCCTCATGAAATGTAATTAATTCCATTTTATATCTACAGAAAATGATGAGGAAAAAGGAAGGAAGAATGGGCAGAGAAGAAAATGGAAGAGGGAGAAGGGCCTGAAGAGATCAGAGATGGTAAGAGATAATGTGATAAACTCAAAGAGATAGGGTCCAGAAAAGCAGAATGTATCAGTTGGCTGAAAGTCTGTAAAGAGGTAAGCTTTCCTTTAATGACACACTGTGGCAACATTATCTCACCTTTTGGAATCATGATTGCTTCTTGGGGCTTTTGGGCTACTCATACCTCAACATTTTCAGCTCTCTGTTAAAGAGACTCAACAAGAATAAAGTCTTTCTTTGGGAGGAAGAAGATTTCAGCCAAGTAAACGTAAAAGATGACAGAGAAAACATAATGATGTTCTCATCATGAAAATGAATATAAAATAAGAGTGGAATTATTTTTTGACCCTTAAATGAATTTTTAAATCATCTCAGTGGGATCTATAGCTTTTGTAAGGTTCCAAATGTGTAAATATCCACTAGCAAAATTAATGACCTGTATTTCGAACAACTTTGCTTTTCAGGTATCTCCATTAGCCTACAATTTAAAAATGAAAACAAGAACAGGTGTTTAATCAAGTGGCTAATTTGCTGGTTAATATGCACTTCCCACATCCAAGTGCCTGGGTTCAACTCTCCGTTCCTGACTGCAGCCCCTGAAAACCAGGAGTGATGATTCATGTAGTTGGGATGCTGCCACCCGTAAGCCAGATCTAGACTGAGTACCCAGCTTCCAGCTATACCCTAGGCCCAGTCCTGACCTTTGTGGGCATTTAGGGAGTGGAGCAACAGAAGGGAGCAAGCTCTCTGCTTCTCAAATAAAAAATGAATTATTAAAAAAATAAAAAAGCAAAGGGGCCATAAGTAACTAAGATAGAATAAAAACTAGTATTTCTAAAAACAAAAGCATATGTTAGTATTTTTTGAAGCACAAGCTGCATGACTTGTGAAATTGGAGACTACTGACTACAAATTCTCTTATTTCGAGTCATAGAAAACAAAGTTCTAAAACTTGAAGACTTGATATTTTTATAACTAGGGTTATTACATATCTTATCACACAAGTTTGAGCACTTCTCAGAGTGAAGAGGATGCCATTCATAATACATTAAAGCAATGAAAGCAAACAAAGATCATCCCAGAAAGTCACCCTATTTAAAATAAACCATTTTCAAATCTGAATCTGTAAGAATACATCAGTTAGGCTTTCAGCTTTTTTTTGGTTACAATGGTAATACTAGACTTAAATTTTGAACATTTCCAAGCCTTTTTTACTCTTTACTTATACAGCAGATTCTAAAAACCACTATTGGAACTACATTTTGAAAATGCTTAATGAGCACAATTTTAGCATTGATGTAAACCTGCACCACCACAAAAATGAAGCTCCCAAGAGTTGGTTGGTCAAGATTCTTTTGTGTTCCATGAAAGTCAATCTCCCACGTCAACAGGAGTAGGATAAACCTAATAATGATGGGGATTAACATGCATTGTGTATACTGTGAGTGCAGCCAGAAAATTTCACTTTAAACTTTGAAAAATGAACAATGGATAAGAATCTCAAAGATAAAAATGATTTCTGCCACTTCCTATTTTGGTGCCAGTATCGAAAGAACATAATGTTTTTGTTTGTCATCTAGTACTTACAGGTCATACAATACTGGCCTGTTACATTTTCTTTTTTAATAAACAGTAACTGCTTCACAAAACCAGAGATACCTGTAAAGTAACTGAAAGGGTTGCTCCCAATAACCTCAAATTTTTTGTTATCAGAAGTCTTTCCTTTCTTGTTGTTTCTTTCTAAATTATTTCAATTATATCTGTGTCTTTTTAACTATGAAGGCAATGCCTTTAGAGTATTCCTATCAAATGGCAAGCTATTTGCCATAAACCAAAGGAATAAATCCAGAAATGCATGAGTTAGTGTGAAATGAAGATACTTCAGCACTACACAAAAATGATTTGGGCTGCTAGGTTATTAGAGATAAAAAAAATATTGGTATTTGTTTCTTTAAGAGGTCTTTGTCTTAAAATTTTAATCATGATCGTTAAATAAGACTTAAAGTTCAATCTAGTTACTTGGACAGCTGTTCAACAATCAAGTCTAATTAATGTCAGTTATGCTGACTGTTCAGAAACTAGCCACTATTAGTTGTGGGGGGGAAATTATATCAATCAGTTGATTCAATGACAGCCTAAATCCTGCCACCTAGGGGAGAGGAGTGGTATAGTCTTTTAACATCATATTTCAGAAAACCAATTTGCTTGTTTTTGTATTTTCATCACAGCTCAGTGTACAGCAACAATTCAATTGCCCGCAGTAAAAACTTTTTAAAAAATCTTAATATACTTAATCTCACTTCAAGAGTATTTTCCACTGATTTGTTGTTACAGCACTATAATTTAATGTAAATACTGTTAGAATCTACACTTTAGAACAGATCCTACATCCAGAGCAATGGTACATTCTCCCTCTCTTTTTTTAAAATATTTTTAAAATTTATTTGACAGATAGAGTTAGACAGTGAGAGACAAAGAGAAAGGTCTTCCATTCGTTGGTTCACCCCACAAATGGCTGCCACAGCCGGAGCTATGCCGATCCGAAGCCAGGAGACAGGTGCCTCCCCTACCCCTGGTCTTCCATGCGGGTGCAGGGGCCCAAGCATCCACTGCCTTCCCCGGGCCACAGCAGAGAGTTGGACTGGAAGAGGAGCAACCGGGCCTAGAACTCGGTGCCCATATGGGATACCGCCACCGCAGGCAGAGGATTAACCTAGTGAGCCACGGCACCGACCCCGGAACATTCTCAATTATAAAGTTTTAGTTAACCTGTTATCTTCTAGATAATCATTGTAATTTAAAATCTAGTCTTCATTTGTAATTTGAATTTGTATCTCCTTAATAGCAAAATATCGTTTATATCTTGATATCATTTAATGTCATTAAACAAACAAGTGTTATCTTAGTAATAAAAACTGTAACAATATAGTCCATTTCCAATATACAAAACTATTGGACATCACTCCAGAAGTTAAAGTAGTTCCTTTCTGCACCACCTAGATAACCAAAATGTAAAGTTTTAATAATCACACATGATTAGATAAGACTTATAAAAAATTTCCCGATAACATACCGTACAATAAATTGAAAGCAGTGGTCAAAATGAGCCCTGTGGTGATGTTATCTCTAAATTTTTTCACCTTTTGATACATGGCACCCATTATCCTCCACTGGCCACAGGTTCATGTCATACTTAAATGAGACAAACAAATGAACAAACGAAAACACGTGAAGATGTCAATTTACTGTTAAAGTGTTTAATTTCTAGACTCTCATTTGTTCTAAGACAAAAAAGATGCACTTGTGATGCTCACATCCTGTTGTCAGAGTGGCTGAGTGTGAGTTGTGGCTCTACTCCCAATTTCAGCTTCCTGCTGATGGGCACTGTTGGAGGCAGTAGGTGATGGTTCAAATATTTGGGTCCCTAACTACATCACAAATCCAGATTGAATTCCTGGCTCTAGACTTCAGCCTGACCCAGGTCTAGCTGTTGTGGGCATTCAGGGAGTCAATCGATGGTTAGGAGACCTCTCTTCCTTTCAAATGAGAGAAATAAATTTTTAAAATTAAAAATAAAGAACAGATAATATGAGCAATCATTGTTGTATTGAGACTCAAGCCTGAAATTGATAAATTCTTCTTGTGTGACCTTACGTTACTTAACTGTGTGTATTATCTCATCTGTACAATATGAAGAGCACCTACTTCAGAGGGTAATTAGGAAGGTTGTATGAGCTAAGGGCATTCTATGACTTGTAAATAGTATCCGGCATACAATAAACATTATATAAATATTTGCTGTTAGTATTACATGTTCAGTTCCAACTTTTACTTGACTGAGTGATGGGACTATGCAAAAATAAGATGGCTAAAAAAACAGTAACAATATTTAAAAAATACAGCAGTATCCTTTATCCTTAGGGGATATCTTCCAAGAACCCCAGTGAAAGTCTGAAACCATGGATCATTCTGGATCCAATACCTGCTCTTCTGTTCTATGTATACACAACTATGATGAAGTTTATTCCATTCATTAGCCACAATTAAGAGTTGAATGTAACAATAAATTATGACAATATATTGTAATAACAAGAAGATAATTTTTCTCAAAAATTATATTGTACTGTGATCTTAGCAACAGAAGCTTGTTTTTTTTGTTTTTTCTTTCCTTATCAAATCAGGAACTTTCACCTTTTCACTTTAAGAAAGCACTTTACACCTTGTCTTTACAATTACCTGAATTGGCAACATCACTACTCTTGCAATTTTGAGCCTTTACTAAGGAAAATAATCAGCTTTATTTGAATACAAGCACTAGATTACTCCACCAGTAGATCTGATAAGATGGCTAAGTGATTAATAAGTGGGTAGCATATACAGCCTGGATATGCTGGAAAAGTGATGATTCACATTATGGGTGGGACAATACAAGATTTCATCATTCTACTCAGAACAATAGTATGCAATTTAAACCTTAGGGATTCCTTATTTCTGGAGTGTTCTATTTAAAATTTTCAGACTATGGCTGACCATAAGTAACTGAAAACAAAGTAAAATTATAGTTAAGAGGGACTATGTGAATCAAGAAAACAGAGGTTTCCATCAATTTTTTTTTTTAATCAAGAGGTACAAGACAGTGGAAAAGTCAAAACTTTTTATGTCCCATGTTCATTGAAGGATAATTAGCAACATTTTCAAGAGTAATATTCTATAAAAGAGGACTCATCTGCTATCTATTGAACTTCTCTACCTATCAACCCTAACAGTATTCTATTAAACTATTATTTCAAGTTTGGGTTCTAGAGCAAAGTAGGCAAAAGCATATTTTAGGATCTGTACATCAGCATCACTTCATTCAAGGTACTACCTGTCTTTTCAGATTATCAAAGATTACATTCTTTAAAAAAGATGTATTATTATATGCTTATATTCATGTAATGTATTCTTGGCACTTTCTGCTATCCATATTTTAAATCTTACATTTTCAGTCACCAAATAACTGATACATGTGTTTTGACCAGTCTTCACTGCCAACGTTTTAAATGACAGCAAAAAAATGAAATTCCAGTTTATGTAAATGTCCTCATATCATTGAATTTGTAGGACACTTAAAATTTCTGGCTGTTAAAAATAATGCTCTAAGATATTGTCTACATAACTTCTTCTATAAACCAGGTCCTTTTTCAAGGTTTATTTATTTTTCATTTTATATTTGGAAGGCAGAGAGACAGAGGTCTTCCATTTGCTGGTCACATCCCAAATGCCCCCAACAGCCAGAGCTGGGCCAAACTGAAGCTAGGAATATCAAGCTCAGGTCTCCCACATAAATGGCAGGGAAGCAAATACCTGAACCATCATCTGCTGCACCCCACTGTGAGCATCAGCAAGAAGCTGGGTTGGAAGCATGGTAGCTGGGATTTGATACAGATGTCCCGAGAGGATATTTAACTTCTTTGTCACACATTTGTCCCAATCAGGGCCTTTTTTGTAGGGTTTCCCAAAATATAATATTAGGCTTCAAAGTCTGTAAGTATAGCAATTAATCCTCCAGATGCATAACAGAGAACATCTCTACATACACCTGCACCCACATATCAGGCACTGTTTTTAGACAATGTTTGTATATTACTCCAATCCTTACTATATGATCCAGATAGCTTATCTGATTTACATGTTAGCCTCAAAATGTTTAAGAACTTTGTGGCAGGACACAACATTAGTAAGTCCAAACTAAAATCTGAACTCAGTTCTGATTCCAAAGTTATGCTCTAACAATGAATAGTGGTATTTCTTAGAATGTCCAATGTAAATATAAGTCAACTTATTGTGTAAGTGAAAGTTCTAAGGGATCAGGAAATGATAGCTATTACTCATGTAATCTAGTTATTCCTAGTATTCCTGACATTTTTACAGGACAGTATCCCACTGATTCTTTTGGACTATTGAGTTTTTATATTTATAATATACTTAACAGAGTCCAGTGTTATTGTACAAAGACAAATATTATTATGTAAAAAGGGCCCTTATGTTATGCCTGGTACTATTCAGTACTACAGGGGAACAGCTATGTCTGGCTGACTCGCTGAGGATTTCAAGCTGATGTCAATGCATTGTTTATGCCCTTTTCATGGGAGAGGATATATTTTTACCTAAAACTGAAGTCTGGTTCTACAAGCACCAAGAGGCAACTGTATGGTAGCCTAAGGGTGAATCAACAGCTGCAAGGCCACCCACGCATGCGGACACAGCTCTCAGCTGTCTATTCAGTGTCCCAGTTGGTCCTGACCCCATACAAATTTGGTGTTCTCGCTTTGATGTTTAGGAACAGATTGCATTAAAAATGCAGGATAATGATTCAGGGGTTAAAGAAACTGTTATTTATACAAATGTGGTTAACACCTCATCATTTCAAACAGTGCTAGTAACGCTCATTGTACTCATTTTTTTCTATTTTTTTTTCTTGTTCTTCCCAAATCTGCAACCTACATTTGCTTTGGCATTATACTGCGTGTGTGCTACAAGAGAATGGAACTATCAGACAACTCCACAGTCCTGCAACTAAAGGCACTTCCTCTGGAAACCTAAATAAGCAGGCTCTGGACATACATACAAACCATGGGAATTCAATAATTACAAAACTGGTATCTTTTTTTGGCAGTTTTCAGTATGTCCTTTTGGTGCATGATAAACCTATTCTGGAGTAGGGCAGTTAAGACTGAAAGCTTCAGATGAACAATACTGCAAACCAAATGTTATTTATTAGTAAGAGTGGCCTAATATTTAAAAGACAAAAGTTACTCCCAAGATATAATGTAATTATAAAGCAATTGTATCCTTTTCAAAGTATAAATAATGAAAAAAAATCAACAACTGCACCAGTGTTTGTGCCTAAATTGCAAACAAAAGTTTATGGAAAAAGCTCTAGATAGATAGATTCCAAAGTTACATTAGAAATATATGCTGTGTAGTTTTGTTCTGCTCACAGATGGAATAGACCTATTAGCGACATGACACTTTTGAAACTGAAAGTTAATTGATAACTAAATTAAAATTTCAGTTCCTCCACATCACTAGCCCCACTAAAAATATTTCATAGCCACGTGTGCTAGTGGATGCCATATTGGACAGCACAGACAAAACAGGTCCATTATCACAGAGAGCTCCACTGGAAAGCACTGATTTGGAAACTAAAATTATAAGTAACTATGCCCTCTCTTCTAATATATATCCTTGCTGATCTCATTCCATTGAAAATCAAACAGCATTTAGCAGAAAGCTAAATATATACTCTTGCTACGAAGAGGACAATGAAAAGGAAGAAACAGGAGGTGTTCAATGTTGGGCCAGATATTCTTAAAAAGCAAAACAAAATTTAAAAGGTTCACTGCATATCTAGATTTAAAAAACCCTAAAATCCAAATTACTTGAAATTATGTTTAGCGGACTAGATAAAAGGTATTGATGTGGTTCTCCTAGCAAGAAAGCACTCTTTAAAGAACATAAAATTATTTAACAACTGTTAATATAAATCTTCCATCTGTTTAATCTTACTAGACTCATTATAACAGCATTTTGTTGAAACATCAATCACGATTCTGTCTTATCACCTATCTCAAATACCATTTACTTCTAAATCTGGTCATAGTTTCCCTTGATTAGTGTTTACTGAAATTTCAAAAAGCTTACCCACTGAAAAAATTTACCAGGTCTACCTCTACTGTAATGGTCAGTAAGATTCATCCACTCAGCTGGCCAAATTTCAGGCTCCTGTTTTCTTGGGGAAGGAATGAGAGAGCTTTCTGTAGGCACGAAGTAGTTTTTCTCCTATTTCCAAAATTTGTTCCCACTACCATACTCACAATATCTGCAGGGCCTACAAGCCTTTATGGCAATCTCTGACATACACAGTGGAGACAAATGCCTGTCACATTGATCCTAACAGATGAATCTGAGGGATGAGCACAAAGATTTCTGCTACACTCAAAGACAATTGTTTGCAAATAAAAACAAAGCTAACATACACAGTACTGAGAAATTTTAATAATCACAGCTGTAGACGGGTTTCATTATTCAAGACCTCTAGTAATAGGTAACTTAGACTCTACTACTACATTATTCAAATTTTTAAAATAGTTTTCTTAACAAAAAATGTTTAAGTCCTAGTAGACAACTGATTCATTTCAAGTTATCACTGTTCAACTAACTTGCTGTATATTCTTATCATACAGTGATTTAAATTATAGGAATCCAATTTTAAAAAGATATCTTTTTATTCTTTGTAGGAATAAAATGAACCTGTATTTTACCATTACAAAAAAAGAGATAATTCTAGCAAAGTTCAGAGAATAGATGCTCAATTAATGCTATCTAAATGTTTCACTTAGCTTTCTAATTTGATTAAGATATCTGTGTCAAGAAACAATGGTAGCTATTGTAATTTCACATCTAAATTTAAAATGCACAATTTATGCTATTTTATAATCACATACATATTTCCTTAAGAATCAACAAATGTTGAATATACGTATATTGAATTTCCAACTGTTTGTTTTAAAAATTAGAATCATGTACCACAAACATGTTAATATACTTAGCACAATAACAGTACTAAGTACCATTAAATGATTGTCATTAAGATTCTGAAAAAAAAAATGATTTCCCATTTTACTTATGATTCTTCCAACATTTATTTTCACAAAAGTAACAAAAACACACACAAGGAGGAAAAAAGTTACCCATAGGATACAAAAGTACCAGCTTTCTTATTTAATCTCCAAAAAACTTTTCCACAGAAATGTGCTTGCTCCTTGAAATTCCTTTATAGCATTTTCTTAGATCTTATAATTCCTTGAACTCTGTAGCAACACAATTTGTTTTTAGTTTGTCTATGTGTCCATACTTTAACCCTCTCTGTCATAGTTATGTTTTGCTAGGTCATCATCAGGCATCTAAAAATTGTAATCCAATGACTTTATAGTTAAGTACTGTCCTCACATCATGTAAAGACCAGCACAGGCAGCAGCATTTATTTAATTGGTAGCCACTGAATATTAAGTATAGCCATATGTACAACATATATTGATTGAAAATCCCTAAAAGGTTTCCCAAAATTTAAATATCCCTTTCTTTTCTGATCTGCTGAGACAAAATATTTTTAAATACTTCGACCTTCCCACAAACAAACCTTTCAGAACTTTCTACTAAGTGATTTTAGGGTCTATGTACTGCAGATAACCTCTGAACCATTCTATCTAAAGGGTTTCCAAGGTATATTTTACAATATGTTTAATATCTAATACAGAATTCTAGGTAAACTGAAAATAAATTCTGTATACCAACTTTATACTAAAGAGCTAAATTACTAAGATATGTCAGCTATTTTCAGTACTAAATGGTCTGAGTTTCAAATTTCAATACTTAAAAACAATTAGTAACCAACATTAAACTATGCTAAATGCTTAGAATATCCACCCCAGCCTTCACTACTATATTACTTTATTTTTTTTACTTATAAGACTGTTTTATTTTCTCATCAATTCTCATGTAATATGACACTAATACAAAGAGAGTAGATTCAAAGTAGTTCCTAGATACAATCCCAAAAGAATCTAACATCAGGAAGAAAAAAATACTAATATTGCTATGTTTAGTTAAATGGAGGCAGGGGTGGTAGGAATGAAGTTCTTACCTTTTTCCCCTTAGAGAATTTAAAGATAATGCAGAGAGACTCATCATAATTATTTATCTCACTGATGCCAAAAAATAATATTGCAGGTGAAGTATTTAGGGTAGAATGGACAGAGTTAGACTACTCAAAACATTCACATAAAGATATAGTTTCTCAAATAACAGGCTTGCTCTTAGATTTATATTTAGCACATGGTGATATTCATTTTTATAACCAAGATGCAGAAATACTTATAGAAGATATCTATATGACAAAAATTATTTCATGTAATTCATATATGCTTCACAGCCTTCTAATATAACTGATTTCCACTGGTATCATATAAAACTAAAAATTTTATTTATTTATTTAATTTATTTTATTTATTCAGGAAAAATTTTGCAAACTTTTTGTATGATGACCCAAGAATTGATTAATAACAAAATATAAAGTTTAATATTTAGTCCTGTGGAAAAATGAGTTTTTAGGTTTTACACATTTTTCCCCCAAATTACCTATGAGTTAGGATACACTGAAATATTATCTATTAGGATACTGAGCACTCCTGTATTTAACACTGAGGAATACCTGTTCGCATTTATTCATATTAAAGTGACAAGATGGCAGATCTATAATTTAATAAGATACTGAAGTTCAGAAGTTGGGACAAATACAAAATGTATTTTGAGCTTTGCCGTTTTAACCACTTTATATTTTGAGTGTCTACCTTTCTTCAAGATAACAAATACCAGGTCATGGACTAATTTAATGTTAGCCACATAATACTGGTAACACTCAAACGGGCTTAAAAATAGAAACATCTATGCTTTAGCACATTGTTTTGGGAGAAAATTATCCCTTCAATATATAATAGATGAAGTATGTACAACCGAGTGATAGGAAGGAACTATTTTTCTTATGGAAATGATGGAGAAAGGGATGGATCATTGTCGAAGAACAACTCACATTAATAAATAATTCCCTTACAAACTTGTAATCTGGAGTGAGTTTCACAGGAATTTTGGAATAATATTAAACAGTCTTACTTTTCTCTTCTGTTTTTAGTTCACAACTTGAAACTAAAAGTCACCCAATTTAATGACTTTTAAGGAAACAATATGCAATGAAGTGTCAAATCAGATGCAATATTACGATGCAAAATTACCTGGTACCTAACTCAATCATTTCATGGCTTAGGTTGACCATGAAAAAAGAATTTAAACTAACTCAAATGTTTTGGGAGATGAAAAGAGAGAGATTAGAACATATCAAATATGTTTCCTAAGAAAGCAAGTCTCTTGCATAAGATACACATGAAAATTTCCATCTCAATAAATCACGAAAAAAAATTCTAAAAAGTAAATGTTAAGTACTTATTTATATTACTTAGTATATAAAAGGAAATATAAAAGTAGAGATCTAATATTTTTAAATATCTATCAGACAAAATTAAATTCATCGCACAAAATCAAAAATATTAATTTTACGCATAGGTTTCTCAATAGCTAACTAAAACAGACAAAAATATCCATCATTCCCAAAAGCTACAAACAAATAGTCTCTAAATTGGAAGGCGGAGAAATATTAACTTCAAAGAGTTCATTTTACTTATGTATTGGCAGTGCATGTCTAGCAACATTGGTGACACTGAAAGAACACAGCACAGACATGACCAATCTGTAAACATCTGACCATACTGGCACAATGTGGATCTTGCTGATCAAGTGGATATATTTTTTGTTGCAAATGTTTTGAGGAACAACGCCTAAAATTATACAAAAGTTGAAAATACAGTTTTAACAAAGTTTACATGTAAAGGGGGAACATCAAAGCTAGTAAGTCTTTTGGCTTTCTTACAAATGGTATCATTATAATTCCCAAACTGCCGGAGGACAGAGTATCTTTGTAAGAAAAATAAACTGAAAACTATGTTGCTTCTATTATTTTACACGTCGGAGTCACTTGCAGATTCTGGTCTGCTGTTATCTGGCCCATCACTTTCCTTGTCCCAGTCTTTCATAGATGCTCCCATCATGAAATCATCACGTAGGATCGTCCAACCTGGACCCTCTTCTGATTTCGCTTTAGTCTGAGGAAAATTGCAGAATCAAAACATTCAGAAGTCAAATCAATCATACGAAAATTAAAAAACCCAAGTTAACACAAATTTTTCAAAGCTTAGTTTTACAGTAGGGGTGAAATCAAACAAATTATAAAGTGACTTTATACACTATAATGAAATATGTATAATTATATGATAAAGAACTGTATGATAATAAAATTTGCAACCCTGTAAAAGAAACATGAAAACTAAACAAAAAACTTTTGTGGAGTAGGGGAGAAGTACAGTAAAATCTAGGTTTGGTATCAAATGTTTAAAATCTTTTAACAACCAAAATAGGCTTTGTAATGTTACACATTTAAACTTCAATAAAAACTTCTAAGAAATCTTTTGTCAAATTATTGAAACACACATAGGAACTGAACAAAGGTTTTTAACCCAAAATAGGATAAATGAAATAAGGAAACTAACTCTACTGTGCAAGAATTCAGCAGATGCTATCTCATTTGACATTTTATAAATATTTGAACTAAATGTTCTTTATTCAGGTTATAATATCACTGACTCAATCATGTGATCAAAGACTAACCATGTGTTAAAATACAAATAAGTAGGAAATAAATATAACAGGTAGTCAATTCATTTCATTTTAACCATAGGATTTTCCTAACAATATATAAGAGAACTTTAGACTTACATGGTACAACAGTACCACCTTGTGGTATTAATTAAGTAATACAATATATACAGCACTCTGAAGCTATGAGATGTTGTAATCATTCCACATTTGAAAACTGTGTCACAAGTGTTTAATTATGAGTGTTAGATATACAGTACTGAACAAAACAAAGCTGCTGTCTCATAGAGCAGTCTATGAAAGTCTATTCACTGCATTCTCAGAAATACAAAATTGTGAAAAAATATAAATATGAAAGAACACGTTGACATTCAGTTAGAAAATAGTGTTTTATTTTTACGGGTTACTAACCATGTAAAAAGCAGTTTTTAAAAGAGAAGATATTAAAGAGAGAGAGAGAGACAGAGAGAAAGGTCTTCCTTCCGTTGGTTCACCCCCCACAAAGGCTGCTACGGCTGGCGCGCTGCGCCGATCCAAAGCCAGGAGCCAGGTGCCTCCTCCTGGTCTCCCATGCGGGTGCAGGGCTCAAGCACTTGGGCTATCCTACACTGCACTCCTGGGCCACAGCAGAGAGCTGGCCTGGAAGAGGAGCAACAGGGACAGAATCTGGTGCCCCGACCTGGACTAGAACCCAGGGTGCCAGCACCGCAGGCGGAGGTTTAGCCTAGTGAGCCGCGGCGCGGGCCTGCTATAATAAATTATTTACCTAACTCTACAAAGCCTCCCTTTATTTTAAAAACGATGGTAACAAAACTGCTCATTCCATTAAAAAATACACTATTAAAACAGGAAAAATGTCCTATTGGGTCACTCCTGCCTTACTGGGATCAAAAAAAAAAAATCAAGTAGTTTACACTAAACATAACCTGATGACTAGAGAGCATATGAATGTGAATAATGATTTTAGAATGAATATAGAAAAGTCAAATATCAGCACATTTTATACTATGGTTTAACCAACATAAAGAAAGATGCAAAAATATGTTATTAAAAATAAATATTATTTCTTATATATTTATTAAAAATAAATGTTATTATTTCTCGCACCACACTGACAGAATAATGAAGTAATAAGATAACTTAGAACTCCCTTCTGGGAATATGGTAACATCCTCTCTACATTTATATCTACAATGTCAAACCTGCACTTTTAAAACTTCTGCTTCTGTAAGATCAATTAACCTAACTGGATAAAAAGCAGTTTTCCCTGATCCAATCAAAGTTTTTTTTTCCCCCGATGGTCTCACCTTAAGTAAAAGAACAGTTAGTTTCTAATGAACAGAGATCCACTTAGAACCAATAATCACATCAATCACAATTAATGTAGTAATTAATTCAAAATTTAATTGTAATTGTATATAGCCATATCCAAATTATTGACTAGGAAAGACTTATCCTGAATTTAATATCTGTAATTACATATGAACATGCACAACCTCAATAGTAAGCTTCCAAGTGTAATCAACTCTGACCAACATGGTATTGATATGTCAACAGTAGGAAGATCCCACAAGACTGACCTCAATGCAGTTTCTACATGAACTCTCCCTGACAGTAGCCAACTTCTGTTGGACTCTGAGTTCCTCCTCTACCAGGTAGCACCAGAAAAGTTGTAAGCAACAGATGAAACAATGGCAAAGGGAAGAAGGGGGGCAAGGAAGAACAGGGACAAACCATGTAGTTCAGCAAGGAAGAACAGTAAATCAAAGAAAATAGTTCATTAATATGGTGAGATCAACTGTCTTGCATATTTGTCTTGAAAGATGGTTACCATAAACATAATTTAGGCAATGAGAACAATAATAAAATAAGTTCAAAATTTATTTCAATTATCCAATTTGAAGAGTAGTAAGTAAAATTCTATAGGGAAATTTTAGTGATGCTTTCCTTTTTTTACCGTCAGTAATACAGTCTGTGTCAGTGACTGTTATCCATTGTTAAATATTTGAGAGACAAAGGGAGAAAAAGAGGCAGACAGAGAGCTCCATTCCACTAGATCAGTTCCCAAATGCCATGACAATCAGGGATGAGCCAGGGCTGAAGCCGTAAATTAAAAATTCAATCCAGGGGCCGATGCTGTGGCGCAGTAGGTTAATCCTCCCTCTGTGGCACTGGCATCCCATATGGGCACCGGTTCTAGTCTCAGCTGCTCCACTTCCAATCTAGCTCTCTGCTATAGCCTGGGAAAGCAGTAGAAGATGCCCCAACTCTTTGGGCCCCTGTACCCATGTGGGAGACCAGGGAGAAGCTCCCGGCTCCTGGCTTCGGATCGGCGCAGCTCCGGCTGTTGTGGCCATTTGGGGACTGACCCAGTAGACAGAAGACCTTTCTCTCTGTCTCTCTTTCTCACTGTCTGTAACTCTAACTTTCAAATAAATAAATAAAATCTTTAAAAAAAAATTCAATCCAGTGTCCCACAGGGAAGGAACATAATCACTTTGAACTATCACTTCGGGCTCTAAAGGTCTGCAATAGCAGGAAGTTAAAGTTGGAGTCAGGTATTAGACCCAAGCACTTCAATGTGCAATGCAAGAATTCCAAATGAGGTTTTCACCACCAGGCCCAAATGCCTCCCCTGTATCAGTGATTCTTAAAAGTGTGATCATCAGATTAGTAGCAGCAACAGCAGCAGTAGCAGCACTTGAAAACTGGTTAAACAAAGGGATCACATAAACAAGAATAGTGTCTGCAAAGACTAGCTGATAGAATAAAAAAGGGAGAGAATGATCCAACATGGGAAGTGAGATACACAGCAGACCCATAGAATGGCAGATGTCTTAAACAGCACTCTGGCCTCAGAATCAGCCCTTAAGGCATGCGGATCCGGCTGAAAAGCCCATGAGAGTATTTCAGGCATGGAAAGCCAAGACACTCTGGGGGGGGGAAAAAAAAAAAAACCTAAATGAAAGATCTCCATGAGTGAGATCCCAGTGGAAAGAACGGGTCATCAAAGAAGGAGGTACCTTTCTCTGAAGGGAGGAGAGAACTTCCACTTTGACCATGGCCTTGTCTAAATATGATCAGAGTCAGTGAACTCAGGGGGCTTCCAAAGCCTTGGCAGCTCATGAAAAGAGCCTAGGGTGATTACTGATACCATAAACAAGAGTGTCAATTTGTTAAGTCAACAACAGGAGTCACTGTGCACTTACTCCTCATGTAGAATCTTTGTCCTTAGTGTGCTGTACATTGAGATTTAATGCTATAACTAGTACTCAAACAGTATTTTTCACTTTATGTTTCTGTGTGGGAGCAAACTGTTGAAATCTTTACTTAATGTATGCTAAACTGATCTTCTGTATATAAAGAGAATCGAAAATGAATCTTGATGTGAATGGAAGGGGAGAGGGAGTGGAAAAGGGGAGGGTTGCGGGTGGGAGGGACGTTATGGGGGGGAAGCCATTGTAACCCATAAGCTGTACTTTGGAAATTTATATTCATTAAATAAAAGTTAAAAAAAAGTGATCAGTTTCAATTCATAACTGATCATAAAGATAGGATTAAGTGTAAAAAAAAATAAAAAATAAAAAAAAAAAAGAAAACTGGTTAAAAACTCAAGACCTTGGGCCCTATTCCAGAACTTTAGAAACCCCAGTGGTGGCCCAGCACTGCTTCTCTATGCCATCCAGTGATTCTAATACCTACTAAAGCTTCAGAACCAGCAGTCTATGGAAGGACAAACATTTTTAGCGATAGTTTTAATTCACTGTGGTAAGACCAAGTATACTTAATGGAAAAGAGGGAAAGATTTTAGACTTTACACTTCTGAAATGCAATTAGACCCTGTATTCCAATCATGCCTTAAGAATGACATCATTCAAGTTATTATTACAGGGATATTTTTATACTGTGAAGCAACAATTTGAAGAAAACTACAAAATTTAGTGTGGGTTAATATGTTCTAAAAACCAATATTTTATACAACACATGTCAAAACAGTGGCTCAAGAAATAAACATCTAACCCAGTAATTTCTAATGCCAACATGTGCTACAGAAATACATAGCAAGAAAAAAGGAGACAGCTCATGGTAAGGTAACAGTTTGACCATAAACATTACTCAACTGCAATACTCAATTAAACTAGAGAAAAGTGATTTGTTGCTTTAAAAATATAATCCTCAGGGATAAGATCAAAGGAGACAACAACACCACAATTTCAGAAGGTAAAGCAGATGGCCTAGAATAAACTCAGTAAAAGCAAGAAAGCTGAATCCTAAGATTGCCAAGTGTTAAGCTAACAACTAATTCCACTTACATTGTAGGACCCACAGAAGAAAGAGGAAATGGCAATGTCAGATAGTTCTGGAAGTGAGGTTTAGAGCAGAATTACCAAAATAAAGAGAACTGAGCGAATGCTGAGAAGCAATTAGATCTCTAGATCCCTTCCCCGTT